AGGCTGGCCCAGAGACCCAAACCCTAGGTCAGCCATGTGACTTCCAGCACTGCAGGGTAGTTTGCTACAAAGTGTATGCACCACCAGGCTGGGCCTCAGGCTAGCACTTGTTTTTATTTTTTAAAGAAATATTTACTTAGGGACTGGCAGGTGGCATGGGTTAAAGGTGCCGGACTGCCACCCAGGCACCTACATTTTGAGTCCCGGACCTGGCGGCTTGCCTTCTCACTTTTTCTCTCTCTGTCCCTCTCTGATCAAAATAAAATACATACATACATATATACATACATAAAATTAAATAAAAATAATTCTTTTAAAAATAATTATTATATTTTGTTATTATTATTTTTTTAATTTGACAGAGCGAGAGAGAGAAAGGGAAAGTGAGAAAGCAAGCCACCAGGTTCAAGCCTCAAACCTCAGTCACCATGGTCAGCCACATGGGAGTCCAACACCTTAACCATCAATGCCACCTGCTGGCCCTCAGGCTAGGATTGAAATCCATCCACTCCTAGGAGGTTGTAGACTACTGACTTCATCTCTCTAAACTTTAGTTGTGGCATCTATAAAATGAAGATAATTCCTTTCCGAAAGGGCCATCCAGAGCAGTAAATGAGAAATCATGGATTTAAGTTCCAGCACATAGTAGGTGCTCAGTTCTGTTTCATTCTTCTTTGCTCATGCTTCTGTGGCCAGGAAGAAAGGAAGCCAAGTCAATATCCATCCCAGTTGTTTATTGACCAGGACGGTGGGACAGAAGGGGAACAACATGGGGAAGAGTGTGAGACATAATGGCAGTGGTCTGGCCTGGTCAGAGATGATGAGGACCCTCCAGGCTGGTAGCCGCTGAAGGGGGAAAGGTGGGAACCCTCCTTCTCTCCAGCTGTCTTGGTGCTCCCTCTAGTGGTACAGAAAGGAGATGACATCTCCAGGACTGGCGCGTCCAGAGGGCACATCCTTTACCAGGAGCAGCACCATTGGTTTCTAGGTGAGTGGACTTTGAGGGTCAAAGACACCACTTCTCCTGCCCCTGGCTTTTAGAGACCATTTTAATCCATGTCCATAGAATCTTTGCAGCCACCTGGGACCATCACTCCTCTGGCCAGACTCTCCAGGCCAAACCTGTCCCCGTCCCTGGGAATTCCTGGGAACTAGGAAGGTGTGGAGCCCTGTGGCAGGTGAGGAGCAGGAGCTGACCAAGAAGGGAAGATGTGAGTTCCAGTTCCTGCAGGCCGCCGTGCTGAGGGACCCCTGTCTCCCTCAGCCACCTCGTCTGCGCCTCGGCTTGGTAACTGCCCACAGTGCATGGGCGGTGGGACTCAAATGCCAAAGTGCAGGTAGAAAGCAACTGAGAGGGGCAGTTACTTTCACTCTGTACTGGAGAGGAAGTCCGCCCTGGTGGGTGAGAGTCACCCCTTTACCTGCCCTGAATTAGCCCATGGAGGGTAGTGCTGTCTTGGGGAGACCAGGCAAGTCCCAGAAGTCTTGGCTCTGGTCTAAATCCCTCCTAGTAGAGGCAGGAACTAACGGTCTGAACGGGTAAAGGGCCTGCCCAAGGTCATACAGAAAAGACTGGGGACAGATTGAGACAAACGTGTTCTGCCCTTGAAGGACTTGGGAAGGAGGGGTGGGAAGTTTTGAGAGTGGAAGGAAAGTTGGCACCCTGGACGGGTCGAGGCCCGGCCCCTAGGGAAGAGACATACTTGCACTCCAGACTTGACCTACAGCTGGGCCTTCTAGGGGCTGAGAGGGAAGGGGCCTTGCTGAAAGGGAGAGGCTGGGGGACAGTGGAGTGTGGAGTGGTGGGGAGGAGTAAGGGCCCAGACCTCAGATCTGGCTCCTCCTCTGGCTACAGGAGCAGCTCAAGAGTCCCGCTTGGGCTGGATGGTCTGCACAGAAGACTGCCCAAAGGGGCTGACAGGTGGCCATGGCTGGCCGCTGGCATCACAGAAGATGGGGGACAGCCGCTGCTCTGGCTCGTCTCTGAAGACCTCCACGTGGCCGTCAGCATCTGTGTCCAAGGGCTCTGCCTTGGGATCCTGGCTCGGCCAACCCGTCATGGCCCAGAATAGGCAGATGGCCAGCAGGATCCCAGCTGCCGCACAGAGCGCTGTCCCTGCCAGGCGGCAGGTGCCCAGGGCCTGGTTGTAGTCTGCTGCCCGCTGATCCAACACCAGGAACTCGCCCTCACCGATGCCCTCCAGCTTGGGGGGCACCGCGTAGCCCGTGGTCAGGGCTGCCACTCCCAGCAGCAGGAGCAGGGTCCCCGAGGACAGGCTGATCTGGGGAGAGGCAGACAGACGGGGAGGTCAGGGTCAGACAGGGGTCCAGGCCAAGGGATCACCTTGGATCTCACTGAACTTGAAGGTAACCCCCTTGACACAACCGTAAGAGAAGGAATCACAGAACACACTGCTGGGACCTAACAGGTGGGGCATACTAAACCGTCAGGTCCTATTCGGAATCTTTTTTTTTTTTTTTTTTTTGGCCATGGGGCATGTGCATTTACCAGAGAGATGAACAGAGAGTCAGAAAGCACCCCCAGGGGGACGGCCTTCTCCATTATCCTCTCGGGATTTGGGGCACGCATGCACACACGCTCGAAGCGCTTTTCAAGTCACTGGGTCCAGTATGTGAACTGCACAGCTGACCACGTGAGATCCAGCTGCCTGAACCACTGTGGCACCTGCTGGCCCCCTCTTTGAAATCGTGAGGCCTCTTGATTAATTTCCTTCACAGCTTCCACTCACTTGGTGCACCCTGGGACATGTATTTTAGTTACTATAGAAGTGACGTCTACCTGTCCCACCAGACTGGGAGCCCCGTGAGAGCAGAGGCTACGTCTGTTCTGCCTCATTAAGTGTCCTCTGTGCCTGGCACAGAGCGGAAGCTGAATACACGTTTGCTGAATGACTAAGTGAACCACAACTAGAGATCCTCTAGGAAAGTTCCTTCTTAAATTCTGTGTCCCCCAGGAGTTTAACACAGTGCCCGGCAATAATAAGATGCATAAAGATTTTTGGGACCAGCAGTTAGCATAATGGCTATGTCGCTGGACTCCCATGTAGTCGACCACGGTTCGCGTCCCAGACCCGGTGGCTTAGAACTCACACCAGGCGCGTGTGCGTGTGTGCCCAAGATCCTGAGAGGAGAACAGAGGAGAGAGGATTGCAGCATGGCCATCCCCCCTTGGGGGTGATTTCTCCACACCTTAACCCATGTGGTATACCTGTACTTGTCACAGGGACTCGGCTTACTGCCACCTCCACACCTTAACCCACGTGGTATACCTAGCTGCTAAGGACATCAGTAGTGTCCCTCTCACGTCTTCCCACTGCTCTGGTAAGGGTACCCCCGTATATCCTTGGGAAACCACAGTGAGACTTCAGTGAGATAAGGCCCACTTCC